GCATGTTTTGAGCGCATGCTGATTGCTGAAAATATATGTTTAATAGACTGTTTAATTTTATATTTTTGGCTGCAATAACCAGTACTTAATTTATCACACATAAACCAAATATAACTCACAAATATAATGCTTTGTCCGTGATTGCGAACATGTATTGACACATTTGACTAAAGGAATAAACATTACACTATATCAAATCACTTTTATACACTGTTGGCTGCCTATACTAAAATAAATGGTTATAAGTTTTCCTATGTTGTAAAAGAAAGACACAGACTACCTTAAAAACTGTGGAAGTTTTCTGGTTGAAGGTCCATTACCTGCTTGTCTCCATGGAGATATTGAGGCTTTCTCTGGGTGGTTCCACACTACAGCATTGAACATATTTATCTCTCATTTATTTAATTCTGGGTGGTTTTATTGGTAACAAACACCTGCTTGCCTCTCCACAGATCTGACCTTAAACTCAAGCTTGGTGATGCCATACAGTGAAAGCTATACTAAGCAATAATACCATCTCCATTGGAAACAAGCAGGTGGCAGACCCTCCACCAGAAAAGCTACTCAGTGCAGCTTTAAATGTGGGAAGAAGAAGAGACAGTACACAATATTAAGAACAAGGGTATTGCTCTGCATCTAATTCTTTGTAAATAGACTCGAATTTAGGTCAAGGTCAAGGTTTATTTATAAAGCACATTTAAAAACAGACAGTACTGCCACAAAGTGCTTAAAAATATAGATTAAAAACAGAATATGACTAAACAAAAACAGAGATATTAGATTGCATATAATTCATAATAAATAGACTAGAGTTTAGGTCAAGGTCAAGGTTTATTTATATAGCACACTGAAAAACAGAAAGTACTGAATAATAACAGAATTTGACAATAAAACAAGTAAACATTTAAAGTCAAAGATTAGTATCGTGCCTGTATGTTGTGTCTGTATCTTCTGTTGTGATGGGCTCTGTGTCTGGGGCTGCCCTCTGCGTGGATGTGCCACTTCTGTCTGTCAAACATCATCTGCATCTACACCCCCTCACCCTCCATCACCCATGTTTCACCCCCTCTTCACCTCCTCCTCATCCTCATCCTCCGCTCTCCCCCGCCTCATCATCTATTCATGTGTGTGTTTCCCAGATATGTTTCATTTACATCACTGCTCATCGCACGGTGCACAGATGAACAGTTACAGTTTTAATTCACTGTAATAACGCATGGGTTTTCAAACAGTTGTACACGCACAAATAAGGGTTCAAATTACACTTTGAGTTAAGAGAATTTGAGTTTTTGATCATTTCTCTTCACCTTTTGACCTATTGTTTTCTTATTTCAAGCTACATTCTTTTGTAATAAAACAGAAACACATTGAAATCATTTTTTTAAATAAGCAAATAAATCTAAAAGAGACTGAGATCCAACCCAGTCAAAATTACTCAAATCCAGATTCCGAGTTCAAGTTATTTCAACACAACCAGATATTCACTTTTTGCAGTGCTTTGGTTCATGTTACATTAGGTTTAGTGGCAAAAGAAAAGTTTGGGCTTTAGTCCAGTCCCAGTTCAGTTTGTCCACAATGCTGTTGTGCCTTTGAGCAAGTATTCTGTGTTTTACGTCTATAAATTTGGTTAATTCATCTTATTGCAGCAGTCTACTAATGTCCTTTTTGTGCCCACAATTGTGATAATGATGATACCCAGCATAGTAAACTCATCATTGTGAATAATTAGGATGCTTGGAATGCAAAAATAACTGGACCACTGCAAATGTGTCTTGATATGATATATTCTTGAATGTCTTGATATTTTAGCTACTTATTTAGAATTTAGAATTGCCATTTATAATTTTTCTCTTTGTTACTATATTATAATGTGCTGTGTGTGAGCTACTGTGTCCAAATAATTTCCATATGGATCAATAAAAATCCATGTATCATTCATTCATTCCTTTTTCAAAATAAAACCAAAAATAAGAAAACAAAAAAACATTCATTATTTGTCTCCAAAACCACAATGAAAAAAACGGATAACGGATAATGCTTCTGGGACCATTCCTGGTCTGGTCCTGGTCTGGTCCCGATCTCAGTCCCGGTCTCAGTCCTGGTCCCAGTTCCGGTCTGGTCCCGGTCTGGTCTCGGTCTCTGTCTCGGTGTCAGTCCCTGTCTTAGTCTCAATCTCAGTCCCAGTCTGGTCCCGGTCTGGTCCTGATCTCAGTCCTGATCACCCAACAGGCTATGCGGATGCACCTCTGGGCCCATCCCGTCAGTCCTGGTTTAGTCCTGGTTTAGTCCTGGTTCAGTCTGGCATTGCAGTTTAAGTCACAAAAAGGAGAGGCAGCCGTTATCTGTTTTTTCCATTATTCATTTAAACACAAAATCGAATTGAATCTGAAAAAAAAAACGTTATCCGTTTTTTCATTTTGGCTTTGGAGACAAATAATGAAGAAAATAGTTTTTGTTTTCTTATTTTTGGTTTTATTTTGAAAAACGAATGATGCACGGATTAGTAAAGTTTGTCTAAGTCTATGTTTGAAATGAACTTGTTCTATTTTTCATGTTTAAGACCTTTAATGAGTTCAATGCCTTATTATTACTTTGTGGTTTAACATCTATAAATTGTACTAAATTCAATACCATGTGGTCAGGGCTTGATCAGTAGCAGCCGGACACGCGAAAACCCCTCTCGCGAAAACAATCAGATCGATGTTGAGAGAGAGGAGGAGGAGGCAGGAGGCTGGTGTGAATGTGTGGTGACATACAGTGAATAAAAACACACAGAGACAGATGAACCGCGAGCGAGGGAGTCCTGCAAAGTGTCGCTGTTAAATAAAGGTGACAGACAGTGGCAGCTGCAGTCACGCAAGTCAAGTGTCCTCACGCTATCTTCTCGTCTCTTTCCTGATGCATCCTATGTCCTATGTCCTACATCCTCAGCTCTTTTCCTCTCCATCCTTCCTCTTTCGGAGATGCAGAGTTGGCTAGTAATTAGTTATTTAGTGTTTGCTTATACATGCTATATTATGCAACACTAACTCTTGTGAACTTTAAGCATGTTATACTTATGAAAAACCTACCTGGAGTTGTGTTTTGTTTCATTCACACATGTTTGCATAATCCTTTAAGTAATTAATTAATGTGTTATTCGTGCAACTTTTTTTTTTTAAACATACTTTATGGTTTATCTTACACTCAAACATTAAAGGTGCATTGCTTAACTTTTCTGGTACAGGATCCACCATGAAGATGTAATTGTTTTGCCTGAAATGTTCCATGGTATGACTTCAAAAATATATTGTATCCTCCACTAGAAATGCAACCCAGTGCACCTTTAATAAAATAATAAAATAATAATTAGCCAGTCCACTCTAAAACTTACATTACCAAACAGACCTAATTTTTATATATTTATAATATTATGACTACTTTTTACCTCTGAATTAATCTCTTAATATATTGTCCCTATATTTTTAGGTCTCTTTTTCCCTTCTTCTTCTTCTCCTTCTTCTCCTCCTCCTCCTCATGATTCTCCTCCTTCTCCTCATGATTCTCTTTCTTCTCCTTCTCCTCCTCCTCATGACTCTCCTCCTTCTCCTTATTCTTCTTCTCCTCCTTCTCCTCATGATTCTCCTCCTCCTCCTTCTTCTCCTTCTCCTCCTCCTCCTCCTCTCCTCATGATTCTCTTTCTTCTCCTTCTCCTCCTCCTCATGACTCTCCTCCTTCTCCTTATTCTTCTTCTCCTCCTCCTCCTTCTCCTCCTCCTGCTCTTCCTTCTTCTTCTCCTCCTCCTCCTCCTCCTCCTTCGTCTCATGATTCTCTTTCTTCTCCTTCTCCTCCTCCTCATGACTCTCCTCCTTCTCCTTATTCTTCTTCTCTTCCTCCTCCTCCTTCGTCTCATGATTCTCTTTCTTCTCCTTCTCCTCCTCCTCATGACTCTCCTCCTTCTCCTTATTCTTCTCCTCCTCCTCCTCCTCCTCCTCCTCCTGCTCCTTCTCCTCCTCCTGCTCTTCCTTCTTCTTCTCCTTCTTCTCCTTCTCCTTCTCTGTACCAAATATTCCCATACCACTTGCTGGCTGTGATATACTTGCCCATTATCGCCCCTCGTGTGCACAGTTTGAGTGAAGCATGGGGGAATTCACTGCTTTTAATGAATTTGTTTTCTCGGTGTCACAAACGAAAGCAGCCTCCAAACAGACGTCTTTATCAAAGGCAAACTTGATGAAATACATGACCACTTTAGACTATTTTAAACCCAAAACATATTTTCGAGAGTCTGGGATGTAATAGTCCCACTTTATTGGCGAGACACATCTGGGACTCATTCAGACACTTGTAGTAGTATTCAGATTACGCTAAATAAATTGAAATCTGTAAAATACTGTTAGCAAATGTTGAGACTTCTAGATATAGAAAAAAAAGGTTAATCTTGAATCTCGAATGTTCCACAGTATTGCATTAAACTGTCTTGCATTTATTCAATTATAGCTTTTCATTGCTCAAAAACAAAACATTTTACTGTGAACAGCATCACCTCTCTACAGATCTGACCTGACCTCCTTGAAGTGAGATATGTTTAATGCCATACTGGGGAATATTCTTGCCCAATATAATAATGAGTAATACAAAAAGTGCTCCACTGTGTTTTTAAATTCCATACACCTTCACTTGAATCATTTGGATACTTCGTAGCTCTGGAGTTGCCTATTTCCACTGAACTAAAGGCAAAAAGGAGCTGTGAACATGAAAACTACCACTCCATGACATCACAAGGTGGAACAGAGCATTACAGACTAACAATAAAGGATTACTCAAACATGTGTGAATGAAACAAAACACAACTCCAGGTCTGTTTTTTGGAGAAGGTGGCATCAGTGGCTAAAAACTCACAAGAGTCAATTTTGTCAAATATAGGACCTTAAATCTTATTCGAATTACAACATATTTGAGCAGAACCATGGTTAATGTTACCATTATTTATTTTCTGTGTCTGTCTTGTGTGTTTTCAGTCTCTCACCGGGTTTGCTTTGGTGGTGAGCAGTGATGGCATGGTCTTCTATGCCTCCTCAACCATCGTCGACTATCTGGGATTTCATCAGGTGAGTTTATGAAAATTTGTCATTGTAAATATAGATTTTTAGAAGTATGCCCTAACAAATAACTGTAAATTTGGTAAGACACTTCATCCACCTTGTAAGACACAAACACAGAATAGCAGCCAGTCTTGAGTGTATATGGAGTGACATTTAAGGAACACTGCACTAAAAAACACTAAACCAATTGTATTATCATATTTGTACATTTTCTTTGCCATTACCTTTGCCTGGAAAGTACCATAGTATGACTTTTTAAATGTATATATCTGTACATCTTGATGGAGACAAGCAGATGATGCTACCAGGTCACCGGCCAGATCTGTGGAGAGGTCACACTCTATTTACTGTTAGAATGCATGTTTCTTTTTTTTTTCTTTTTTTTTAGCAATAACGCCTTAAAGTGAACACAATGCAACACAGATAGGTTTAATGCCAGACAAGCACAAAGACAAGCAAGTAGCAAACCCCCCACAAGTGAACTTACATACAGTAGTGCGTATTTCAACTACTACTAGACTATTATCAACTTTTAGTTAATTTATTCTATTCTGTATTTTAGTTTGAAACAGGTAAGAAGTGAATGAACTGGACATATATTTTTCTATAATAATGAATGACACTTCAACACATGTCATGACCCCTCTATTCTAATTCCCTCTTTAAACTGTATGTGAGCACAAGAGGCCACAGAAAGGCTAGGACCTCCAGTTCACCCCAACTCTCGCTCCGTGGGGGGTCTACGGGGGCAAAAAGGGGGGATACTGTATGTCACAGATGGTTTAGCTAGGTTCTCTTTAGCGGCTAAACTCCACCACTTGTTAATTATGAATGATATCAACAGTGGGGCTTGTCTGGTGGTGCAGTAGCCAGCGGTCTCCTTTTAAACCATGAATAAAGTGCTTTTCACTGTAGCAGTTTGCTCAGTGTCTCTGATAGGCACAACAGACACACAGTTCTGGTGCAAATCTTTCTGCCCCACTGCCTCCACTTGGCTTACAAGCTCACAGGGCATCCAGACAGCAGTGAGGGACATGGAGACTACAGCAGCGCTTTAAAGGAGCTCTGCGTGGTTTTTACTGACCTTAAATTGTACAGAACAAGTTTATTTTAAAAACATTTTGCAGTGGTCCAAAATTATTCCTCACTTACCTTATGATTTACCTTATGACAATCCCAGAGCACACTAACATGCTAACTTGCACTTCCTGATTATCAGACATTAAAATGCTTTCTATTTTGATCTAGACAGCACACAGCAGACTTTTTTTGACCTCAATAGCTGCCTATACAATATATCTGCACCAGGGTAAGACAATTGCTCAGATACATGGGGAAAAATCAGGTCTAGGCCTTTAAGTCATGATATTGTAGTGTGTGGTTGTCTGCGATGTAAATTAGTGAAATGCAAAACATAATAGCAGGCAACCTACCACATTATAATACCTACTTTTACTACTACTTAGGTTAGAGAGTCAGGGTATTAATGAAATATTTACTAAACCTGAATCATTCCTAACACACAATTTGTTCCCTAGGAATTCAGTTTTAGTTAATGCTTTATTTAGACTATTTAAAGTATGGATGTTATAAATTGTCAGTCAGGCTGGTGCCACCTAGTGCTTCCACTCAATTTCATTTCTCTCCAGTGACTAGGTAAGGAATTGGAATACTCTAGACTGTTCGCAAAAACCCTAGAAGTGTGAGTTCAGGCACCAGCCAATCAGCGAAGAGCTGTACATTCAGTGTTGGAAACGATTCCCGAGATCGAGGATTTAAAGCCGGAACAAAGAGAATGTTTGGTGAATTTTATCAAGGGGAAAGATGTTATTGCCCTTCTTCCTACGGGATTTGGGAACAGTTTAATATACGAGTTAGCCCTGTTATCGGTACATTACATACATCACAACCAAATAGAAAAATGAAAAAAAGTACCCGCCTACTGTTGAGTGAACAAATTCTAATGTCAGACAGTTTCTATGAAGTGAAACAGGCTGATGAATCAGGCTAATAAATTGTTACCAAAAGTTCAATTGGAAAAATAGATAATCCAGTTTTGTATATATATATATATATGCATATGTGGGTATATTTTCATTGCACTACAATATATTGGTCTAACACTGTGTACAGTGTGAACAATATAGGCCTCCTCCCATCACCATAAAAGCAAGGCACTTTTAGCTCTCATAATTAACTTCTATTTTCACTGTGGACAAATGAACTTATTTCATTATAACCGTATTGGGTTGCCAGTACTTTTTATGCTGACAGCAAGCACAAAGCATTTCACAGCTCAATCTTGAAAATAGCGTGACAAAGTGTTAATTGAAGTCATATCAAAATAAAAGGTTTTCCAAAACAGCATCAACAGCTGCAATATTAGAAAAGACACACACATGTAAAGCAGATTTACTTAATAAGGCGTTTATCTTTGCATAAAAACAGCTCCATGTGTGCATTATTATATTAACATTTAACTATGCACAGATTGTGTTGTAATGCCAAGTCCTATCATCGTATTTATCCAAATGTTTAACCTCACACGCAATGCATTTTTGTCATTCCACCATGTTGTTTCTGAACTGGATTTTGGTACGTACTTACAAACCTCGCGAACTTTAAAGAGAAAGTTTTCAGCGTTATACCATGTTATAATGCTGTTCCCTCATTAAAAACATGCCTTGACAGGTTTTAGATGTCATCCATGTATGTTTCTGTAATCTAGTGATCTCTCTCAGGCCTTGTTCAATCCCTCATTACGGTTAGCTGTAAGATTCTGTGCAATGCTCAGCCCACAACCCAACGTCACCCATGCTCCCACATGACAATTCTCCATAAATATACAAGAACATGACACAAAACTGTACACAGCAACTTGACAAACCTGATGAAAGGGAGGCGAGAAAGTGAAGCTTATAAAACATGTTAAAATTTTGTTTGTTTTCAGCGAATAGCATGTTTTAAACAATAAAAGGTAACACTAAACATGGTATGTGTTAACAGTTAATACCCCATCAAAGCAAAATACATGTCCTCAGTGTACTACAATGGTATATATACAGCGGACCACAAAACACTTCAGGCTTTTGATTCTATTTGTACTGTGTATTTAGAAGGTCTGGGAAATACCACTTATTTTTTATTTTTTGTGAAAGGTTTAAACAATAGTGAGTGGATTTCGGCTGAGTTTGAGTTACGGGACCCAAAACCACACGACGGTACACGAGAACGGCTGTGTTTGGGAGGGCAGCTGATCAAAAGGCCTTGCGTGCCACTGTGCTGGAAATTAAGGATGGAGGGAATACCAGGACGAGGGAGGAGGGAGAGAGGAGAAAGAGGAGAAGGCGTTTTTGTCAGGAATCTGTTGAGGCAGCACTGAGAAACTACGAATATAACATTTTTAAAAGTAATGATGTATGGACAAACATGTAAAATTCAGTTATAATTAGAGTTTTCTTAACTTTTTGGTAAATCTCTAGGTGGCGAGCCCTCCACTAGAAAAGTAGCCTTCAATCCATTATTATAATAATTCAGAAATGAGGAATGCAATCTCTCTGATAATGAATTTTGTAATTTCACTTTTGTAATACACTAGACTGTTTGCAAGAATCACTGAAGTGCGAGTCCGGGCACCAGCCAAAAAGAGCAACAAAGAGCCGTACATTCTGCGTTGGCAACGATTCCCAAGATCGAGGATTAAAAGCCGGAACAAAGAGAATATTTGGTGAATTTTATCAAGGGGAAAGACGTTATTGCCCTTTTTGAGATTTGGGAAAAGCTTAATATACCAATTAGTCCTTTTAGCGGCGCATTACATACGTCACAACCAACTAGCACCAACGGGTTAAATTTTTAAAAAGCGAATGAATCCTAATGCTGCGAGGTCAGACAGTTTCCAAGAAGTGAGACCGGCTAATGAATCAGGCTAGTTGTATTTGTCCCACAATGGGGAAATTAAAACTTAAAACATCTAACATTATTACATGCCTAATATGGTTTGAATAAAATTTGATTCTAATGTAAATACCTACAAACACATTTCCAGAGACAGAGACAAATGAGATGGAAAGAGAGAGAAAGAGAAAGGGGGAGAGAGATGGAGGGTTGGAAAGAGAGAGAGAGGGATCCTGGTTGTGTACAGAGGAGGGAGAGAAGTGTCTGGACACTTTGAGGCTGGAGTCACGCGATGTTTGCCAAACACAGCTGCCCTCACTGGCCCTGACTTACGCTGTACGTTTACATCTGTTTCTGTAATGTTCATATATGCACTGGGACTCTAGATTAGCACTTGTAACTCCAATACTTAATAATTTTAGTTAATCAGACCACAGAAAGTCAAACGCTTATGTTCTATTTATGCTGCTCCCTGTATGAATGGCAGTGTCAGAAAGGGCATCCTGATTTAGCCTGTTTTATTTTTGTGCAGTCCAATATTACTAAGGCAGTAGACTCACAATGTAATGTAATACAATTCATGCATTAGCTTTGTAAAACTGACTTTGGTTGCATTGGCAGTATTTAGCTAATTTATTTGGTTGTCTTTTATTCCTCTTTTTTCTTGACATCGAATTAGTTCTGTCCAGACTACAAAGCCATATTAAAGCCCTCAGAGAAATGTTGCATTGTTGTCTTAGTTAATACACATGAACATTGAACATTTTACACAAATCAACCTACTTTACGTTGTAATTTAGCATCAAACTTTTCCCAAATTTCCATTGAAATTAATGTGGCAAATGTGGGTGAGGCTAAATAAGATCAATAAATAAACTCATAATCAAAAGCAACTAATATTTTTCCTGTTTTCCTTTCTCCCGTAGACTGACGTGATGCACCAGAATGTTTTCGACTACATCCACATTGACGACAGACAGGAGTTCAGACGACAGCTGCACTGGGCCATGTGTCCTCCAGCTCACCAGGGGGCGCAGTCAAACCAGGACAACCCACTGCCAACCACCACTGGTGGGTAACTCCCTGAGGGCCCATAATATACTCCAGAGATCACTACAACAGCACAGGAGAAAATGACACAAATAAGCAGACTGTGTGCTAACTGTGTAAAGAAATCACTTGGGGATTTCAAAGCATTATATCATAGTACACTTGCAATAATTGGTCTGCATATTAAACCACAAAGGAATCGTTAGCAAATCACATGTCTGAAGAGTGGCACTCTGGTTTCCACTATCAACCCAAAACATACACAAGTCTAGTCTTGAACAAGGTAGATCTTACTAAGGTGGTCCTGAACAAGCCTAGCTTAAAATAGGTCAAATGTAGAGGACACATTTTCTTGCAGAGACAATCAAGTGTAACCAGGGTGGCGCCACCTAGTGCTTCCGCTCAATTTCATTTCCCTCCAGCACCTAGCTCAGGAATCGGAATGCACTAGACAGTTTGCAGGAACCCCGGAAGTTATAGACCGCACACTGTCCAATTAGTGAAGACCTGTGAAGCCATGACTGGGTCCCTTTTGTGGTACAGCACAACAGTAAACAAAGCGGTCGAGATGGATGTAGACGAAGCCATACATTCTGTGTTGACCACGATTCCCGAGATCGAGGATTTAAACACAGAACAAAGAGAATGTTTGGTGATTTTTGTCAAGGTGAAAGATGTTATTGCCCTTCTTCCTACGGGATTTGACATTCAAAGCATAACATCTCCATAATGACAAATAGTTACAAAACCTCAACCAGAAAATGTACTTACAGTGCACCTAAGACTTCACATCACCCCTTTTAAACCAAGATAATAATTCTTTCATTTCAATTTTGTTCCTTTATATTGTTTTACTCGAAATTATATCAAAGCAAGACAAGGCATTAAATAACATGATATGGTTTTGTTGATTTATAAACTTCTAAGAGAAAAATATGTTCTCATTTTATTACCCTGATTATTAAATGTCTGCTTATCTGATTTCCTCTCTTCATTAGACATGTTATATTGTATTATAAAATCAGTCTGGTATGTTACGGCTTTCAATATTAAACCGTTATTCTTGTATTTTTCCAGGTGAGGAGTACGTGGTGAGTAGCCTGTTCCACTCTCCGGAGGCGGGGGGCATACCTGCAGAAATGTCCCCCTTTCTCAACAGATGTTTCATAGCTAGGGTCCGATGTCTTCTGGACAGCACCTCTGGCTTTCTGGTGAGTAGTTCAGACACGTATTTAAGCTGGTTTTAGTGCTTCACTCTTAATCAAATGGCAGACTTATTAAAATGTTATGAAGGCTTTGGTGTGGTAATGTTTATTTTAAAAAGTTATGCAACAGACAGTTTATATTTTTGGCATTAGATTATAAAAGTTATTGTTTTGCTATTTGTCTGGAATTGAATCTAATATAATTTAAACGTAGGCTGTAGATTTTTTCGTAGAAGGTTAAACAATGGATCATTTCTTACTTATGCAATAATATGTGGCAATAGCGGTTTAGCTATTTTGCTCCTTATCCAGATGCCGCTAGTATTATTTGGTTTTGGCTTGTATATTGGGTTGGGAAGTCATTTCTTAAGCATTTCTGACTGCACTGCCATCTTTGTCATTGTTGTTTAAGATTGTTTTGATGATTATTGTTCATTTAACCCATATATACTGGCAATTCAACAATAGTAAAAACCTAGTAAAAACGTTTTTTGTGCAAATGAAGACACTTCTGCCCGCTCTATGAAATTACTAGGGGTGTAACGGTACAAAAAAATCACGGTTCACTGTTCGGTTCATTTTCGGTACAGTATGGGAACAAAATGCAAAACTATGTACTTGTTGTTTATTTGTGATTTGATTCCGTGCCGGCGAAAGGCAGTAGTCAAGGCAGGGGGCAACTGACTATAAAGCGCTGTGGGAAACACTGCCGCCCCAATCACAGACAAGTTTCACGGTGAATATTAAAGAGCCGAACCTTCCGTGTAGCTGCACATCTAGTGGTGGAATGTAAACACACACAAATTGAGCAAATTCACTTGTGCACAGCCCTGCACTGAACCAAATGTCCCGTATCGAAATGGTTCAGCACGAATATATATGTTCCGTTACACCCCTAGAAATTACTCTAGATACTTTGCAGCTGAGGTCATTATTATTACCTGGGGGTGTGATGCTAACTGAAAGCACTGCTCTGTCTGAAGATCTGTTATTCAAATTAGACTTTAATTTGAGCTTTGCTGTAACACAATCTGACCATAGATAACTGACTTAGGCCTAGTTGAAACTACAACAGGGGAGATGATTTGTGCTGTTAAACAAGCCCCTCTCTAATAAGTTCGCATTAGCTTTTTTCGGGTAGCACACTCACATTTTTAGCTGAAAACTCCTGAACTCGACCAGGAAGGCTCTTATTGTTCACAGATTCCTGAAAATGTGATGTTTAAATCCATTTGGTGTATTTTTTTTTAGACTATTTTAAAATGTTTTGGCAGTGTTAACTCAAAGGAAATAACTCAAAGGATCAAACTTTTATTCTTTAATCTTTGTTATCATTTTCCTTTCCAGACCATGCAGTTCCAGGGTCGCCTGAAGTTCCTCCACGGACAGAAGAAGAAGTCGGGGTCCGGCGCTCTCTTGCCCCCCCAGCTGGCTCTGTTCTGCATTGCGGTGCCTCTGCTGCTGCCCTCCATCACCGAGATGAAGATGAAAAACATGTTACTGAGAGGCAAGACCAAGGGAGGGGGCTTCTCTGGACTGGAGCATGGGTAAGAACTGACACAAGTAACCCCATCTATAACTACTTTGACAGATATTTTTTATTAGTTTACACACTATAATATGTAAAATTCTCCAGATAACTTAGCCCTAACTAAACCTAGCTCAAGATCTGGAGATGTTCTTGTCCTAGCAGCTGGAGGATGGGTCAAATGCAAATTTCCCTACTGGAATAATGGCGTGTACATTAACCTAATCTCATTCTTAAAGGTGCTCTCCCTAAACTAGTTCTTTATAAAAGGTTTGCAGTGGTCCAAAGTTATTCCTCACTTACCTTATGCATTCAGCGCACCAAGAGGAGTTCATAAGCACAAGTATCAGTGACCAGAGCGGGGTTTTGCTGTCACAATAAAGCTAACAACATCTAGCATGAGAAACGTGCACTTTCTGTATTCTATAATGTACTGTAACTTAAAGGCAAGCAGTTTTCTTAATTTATTTAGTCCAAGTCAATTAATCCAGTGAATCAAATGGGATTAATTATTTATATTATGGAAGTAAAGAATTTTGCTAGTTTTCTTTGAATATAAAAGAAATCTAGAGAATTGAAGAATTGAGGGAAACTGGAATTAGTCAGTATAATAGAATTGTAGATGCATGTGATTCCCATCAGGGTAATTTTCTGAAGAATTGTTCTGGAATCTGAAAGTTCGCCATACAGATATTTGTCCCCCACAGACTCCCATAGTAGCTGGCCATGACCTTTAGCCTTGAATTCATAAAAATATATTAGTATTTAAAGCAGCTAGCAGACCTTTTTAACACATAAACACTTCAGTAAAGGCACAGACTCATAAGATGTCCATTAGTGATAAAAGGAGCGTAATGGGAGCAAATATAGTGCCCTCCCTGTAACTTTTCCTTAACACTGTCGTAGGTGTAAGTCCACAGATCGTTTTAATGGGCTTTTCTTGGCTAAAGGTCAAATTCATAGTTGACAGCAGTGGTCCCTGCCACAGTGAAGCTGTGGAGGCTGATTTATACTGAAGTATTTAACACCTTTGTATAAAATAACACTACTACAAGTAAAGGGCAGAGCTCGAAAAGGCCAATTTGGCGTGAGAAGTACATGTGTGGTGTCAAGGCTATGTCAATATAAACTAAATATACTGAACATTTTGGTGTGAAATTACAGTAGCACTTCAGTTTTGGGAGCACATATTGATCTCTAACAAAATTGTCATTGGTATGCTAATTAATTATTAATGTTCTTTGATAAATAATTAATTTATCAAACAATATTAATGCTTATTAGGATTTCAGTGTATGTACAGGAACATATATTACAATCCCCACAACTTTAAAGTTAAGACAATATTTAATGCTTTAATACTTGCAGAACATAGCCTTAGTCAAAAATGCTTTGAAAGTACTTTATAAATACTAACAAAGATGTAATTAAGCACTAATTATGCATTTTATTATTGGTTAGCTATTAATATGTGGTCCCTAAATTAAAGTGTTACCGAAAGTACTTTTAAAATGTGTTATACTTATTCTATTCTACTCTACTCTACCTTCCATACCTTTTTCATATGCCACATTGATAACTTATCCAATCAGTGTTTTAGATATTGACACTTTACAGCTGATATAATCAATATTCCCTGCAGGCATGAAGCTAACTGAGGGCACTGCTCTGTTATTTAAGTTAGACTTTATTCACCAATTTTATTTTGTCATTGATGATACATTTAGGATTCTGTAGTGTTGTATTGTAATTTCGGTTCAAATAAAAAATAAAAATAAAAATCTGCTGCTCACGTCCATATTTTTTAAAGTATTTTTTAGGTGAATATTGAGATTTAAAATGTCCAAAGTATGACATAATGATCCATGGGTGTTATAGATTATAACTATATAGCAGACACAAGCACAATATGTGTTCTTTAACTTCAAGGATTGTAAATGGACAAATAACACAATACATTTATTTCATGCCATATTTGATTACTTAAAAGTAGTTATAAACATCTAAACTCCATGTGTGATGCTTTATGTTCCATCAAAGCCTAAACCTTTCGACACTTATTTTCTAACTCCAACAAATCCGTAACAGCCCTGGTCTGTATACCTGCGTCCAATTAAGATTAAATGCAAAGCTGTGGCCTCATTAACACTTAAAGAGGCTCAGAGGCCAATAGTTCAGAAGATCCTCCCTCCACCTGCAGCACAGCACCATTAAGAGCTCATCACGACAGGGAACCTTACCTGGGATAGTTCAGCAAAAGTTTAGATTCATTTACCTTTTATGTTATGCGTATGTTAACCAAGAGTTTTAATGAAAGATGCCAATTAAGTTATGTGCAAAACTTAAATTCAAATACAAATTTTACTTATTTAAAGGGCCCATATTACGCTGTTTTCTGATCTATGTTATGTTGTTTCCTTACATGTTTAATACACAAATGCTGCATATTTAGGAGTGCTTCTCTTAAACTGAAAATACTCTGTTCCAGCTTGTAATGCCATGTGGTAATACAGAAAGGGCTCCATGCACCTTCACTTGGATCATTTGTATAATTTTGTTTTGATGGTTTTTTGGATGATCTCTACTGAACTAAATGTAAAAGGTAGATGTTAACTGGAAAACTACCGCTTCATGACATCACAATGTGGAACAGAGCCTTTTGTGGTTTGGACATGTAGACAGAAGAATAATAAAGTGCAGCACAAACATGTGATTAACTAATTTAAACTAATTTCTAACTAACTAAATTCACTGGTGGAATGTCCGCTCGTCTCCATGGAAATGTTATTCATTTGCCCGGAATATTCCACAGTATGGAATGGTTTTGGTGGTATTTTCTGATATTTTGGAACATTCAAGGCAATGCAATAACAGAAAAGTTACAAAGTGCACCTTTACTAATTCTGTTACCTACATTATATTAGTACACATTACATTACGTACATTATATGAGTCTGGCAATTGTGTTATTTAGATAAGCCTATATTAATCAAACACATATACAGTACATATATTTTATTATACCCTAACCCCAATTCAAGATGCAAATACTGTGAAACACTTAAAGTTATGTAACGTTTTCATCCCAAATAAGTGGTAGAAACTGTTACATATCTGAGACACCTTTTTTATGTACTCCAATACATTTTATGGTCTATAACTTTCATACCTTATACGTTGTTATTGTCAGAATCTGTTCCCAATTTTCAAATAGGACAAGCCCAGGAAAGGATGAGTCACTTTTGGAAGTTGTGAACTAAAATGAACCAAACCAGGATATTTAAGCTCTGAATCACTCGTCAACATGGGGATAACTTTAGCCCAGTTTGTGTGGTGTATTTGTGTATAAGAAAACCCCAGATATAAACATTTTAAAAAGAAAATATAATCCTCTTTGAGTTTGATTTCCTGTGTTTTTGTTTGTTATCTTCTTTAAACTATCAGAAGACATGCACAGTTCAAGTAAATAGCTGTGCTAATGACTAATGTGCATGAGTCAAATGCATAGGCTCTAGCCCACTTCATGTCCTTATTTTTTTGTAATAATAATAATAATAATAATGATGGGTTTCAGTTTGTTATTATAGGTGACATTTTGAGGACTTTGAACCATTCACGAGAGTTTTGAATTGCTATTTGCTATGGCAACAGTGATAATTTTCTCATTTATCATCACTCTAAAATGGACTCTGGTCAATCTTTAATGAGAATAAGATGAAGAACATGCAGTGGCCTTTTTCTAAAGCTCCACTTCCTTTTATCCAAAAAAAAAAAAAAAAAAAAGACAAAAATAAAACTGAAAAGCTGCTCTGAAAATTTAGAAAAGCATGTATTCTTACTATGAGTGCCTCCTCTTGCTTATCTTCAAATGTTGCTCCTTTGGGTGTAATCTTCCACATTATGGCATTAAATATATGTATTTCCATGGAGAAAGTATGATTTTAAACACATTTTTACTTTAAAGTGATCTCTTTTTTGTAACCAATTATGTCAAGTTAAAAAAATGTTTCCACATCAAGGAAAGAATTATGTTATGAATCAGTCTGGAATTGATAGCCTGGGCTGTTCCAATGACCCAGAAATCTTCTTTAATCAAAGCTGAACTTATTGTTGTTTTGGAGATATTCAAAACAACCCAAAACCCAAAATCAAACTTACCTATGCCACCAAAAATATGATCACTTATCTTGTCCTAATATTGCTAAAATGTGAAATTAAAATGGAAGAAATAGACTTAAATTTAGACAAACTTTACTGATCCACAAGAGAAATTATTTGGACACAGTAGCTCACACATTACAGTATACTATAATAACAAAGAAAAAAATATATAAATAGTAATAATAAATTCAATATAAGTAGCAAAAATAACAAGAAACTGCTGTCAAATAAGGCATAATTATATAATGTATATGTACAAGTAGAAGTAAAAAAAATAGAAATATAGAAATACAAATTTATATACATTACATAAAGGTGAGTTGTTGCACAGTTGTAGGGAGTATTATATGTTACACAAGGGTGAGTTGTTATACAGTTGGAGTATGGAGTATGGGATAAATGTAGTCCTGTAGTCCTCTTACTGTTAAACATAAATAATTTAATTGAGATTTTAAGTTGATCTGTTGTATTTTCTGTTTTCCAGTGAGCGCGGGGAGAACCTCAGAAGACACCCATACTCTGGTGGGATGGGTGACATTTCCGACCCCCTGCTCCTCCCGTGCCCCACCCCGGGACCCACCCAACGGAGCCACCACACCCCCTGGACCCCCCTCTCCAAGGACAACCTCAAATACCGTCCCGATGGATACTACAACCAGGAAGAGCCGCTAAACTACTGCAAATCCTCTATGGGTCATCATCAAAAAGGGGCGTGGCCTCTGAGATCTTCCGGTCCAGTCAGAGGAGGTGTCGGCTACATCCCTCCCAATCGCTTGAAGGGCGGCCATTTTGGAAAACCATACCGCTATTCTCCCAGTTGCCATAACAATCGAGGTGGCGAAGTTTTCGTCTCCAAGCTCTACGGTAACGTCCAAATCCCGTCTGATCCCGATGCGTATTGCGTGGATTTAGTGAAAAGCGAAAACGGCTACGGCGAATGCTACGATGGTCACATGATGCCAGAGATGCCGCCAATCAAAGTCGAGCACGATTCGGATTCAGAGAACGGTTGCGACGTCTACGGGCGACCTTACGAAAACTACGACCGGCGCTATAACAACAGCGGGATCTACGACCATAGCAATCTCCAGCTCAAATCCGAAGCCGACTATTACGACCCCCAATACTCGCCGTGCCAGAGGACGAAGGCGGGGATCAGTCCACCGTATAACCATAGCAACAACTACCAAAACTACGCCGTGAACAACCGCCTGGCGAAATGCAACAAGGAAATGTCCGATAGCCATTTCAGCCCCCACAGACTTCCCTATAATAATGACTCTCTATGCAACAATCAGTCTGTTAACCTCATGGACAACAACGCCTACCAATCTACTCAGGACAATCACAAGCAGTACATGGACTACAACGGCAAGCACAACAACACCTACGAGTTCAAAGGTCACGGTTTGATTCACTCGATCAAGCGGGAGCCCATGGATTCTCCCCCCTGGTCCGAAAATGAGATGACCCAGGCCATGATGGTGGGGCAGAGGAATCATTTGCCTTGTGTAATGAGTACAGGGCAACACAAAGCTACCCCCTATGTGTACATGCCCTAAAGAAACTTCACAAAAGCAGTACCCTCTTTTTACACACAAACGCACTGATCAGGCAAAATGGTATGACTACGAACGACTGAAGTCAAAAGTGCACTATGTAACTTTTTGTCATGTCATTGCTCTGCCTGGAATGTTCCACAGTATGACATTAAACCGTTCTACTTTACATTTATGGCATTACATTCAGTTACAAGTGGTTTCACTGCTCAGAAGAATCTAGAAAAACAGGCATTCTGACTGTGGGGTTGCCTCTCCAGAGATCTGACTGTAACTTTGTCTGGTTCGGTCTCCATGAAGATAGAAAGATTTAATGCCAAACTGTGAAACATTCCAGACAAAGCAATAACATTTCCATGGAGAAAAGCATTTGGCGGATCCTCCACAAGAAAAGTTACACACTGCACCTTTAAGTATAGGATGTTAGACTGTGAGCAAGTTTTTACGTGTTTGAAGTAGGCAAAAAATTGGTAAGAATTTAAGTTTAAAATTGATATATTCAGACAAGACAGATTCTTTTTAAAAGCTTAAAGGTACACTGCATAACTTTACTGGTAGAGGGTCCACCACCTGCTTGTACAGAGATGTTATTGCTTTGGATTGGAATGTTCTGCTACAGTATGGCGTATTTATCTTCATGGAGAAGTCACCAGGCCAAGTTACAGGTCAGATCCGTGCAGAGATGACCCCAGTGACAGTAGGAATGCATGTTTCTGTGATATTTTACTACTGAAAGAAATAAATGCTGGATAGATGTTTAATGCCATACTGTGTAACATTCCAGGCAAAGCAGTATCACGAAGACAAGCAAGTGACAGACCAGAAAAGTTCCAAGTGCACCTTTAGTCTCTAGTTCAATTAGAAACAAATACGTGCTCACACAGGAATATTGAGAAACCTGAAAGCTGAAAACTGCAGCTTGTGACTGAAGATGAAATATCTCATATATACCTTAATTATTCAGAGTGAACTTTTTAACTTGATGCAGCTGAAATTTATGCTGCATTTCAGTCTAATTTCAAAATTGCCTAAGCCACAGTGTTAATTTTGATTCTAGATGAACCGTATATTTCTATGTGTTATACTTCAGTCGTACAGGTAGGGTCCATAAGCATAGTAGGAGTTTCTTTAGTCCTGTCAGAACTGAAGAACTTAAATGGATAACTAACCCTTCTTTCACCATACATTTCTGATCTGGATTAGTTAAAGGTGCATTGTGTAACTTTTCTGGTGGAGAGTCACCTGCTTGTTTCTATGGAGATGTCATTGCTCTGCCTGGAGTGTTTCACAGTTTGTCATTAAACAGCTCAACCTTACATTTATTCAATTACAAGTGATTTTATTGCTCAAAAATACCTAGAAAAACACAAACAAAGGCATTCTGATCATGAGCAGTGCTGCCTCTCCACAGATCTGACCTGTAACTTGGTCTGTTTTGGCCTCCATGAAGATAAAATGTTTAATGCCATACTGTGAAACATTCCAGACAAAGAAGTAACATTTGCATGGAGAAAAGCATAAAAGAAAAGTTACACAATGCACCTTTAACTGACTTGTCAGTCAGCTTCATCAGAACTTGGGGTGGTTGAGACAAGAATCTAGACTATTTGAACAAAAAATTACTATTAGCTGGCTAAACTAACCAGAACTTTACGAAAATGCAGGTTTTGGAGGATTGCTAAGTCAGTAATGGTCAATATCTATTACAAGGATTGGTCAATTACTTTAAATTACCAATAGCATCGTATGGGACCGTATGGAACTGCAGATTAGCCAGGTGGTCATATTGTTTTGCCTGATACGTGTATGTATGCATTATTGTGTTGTTATAGTTGTCACACCAGCTTTATCTAAGACAATCAAGTCAATTCTCTTCACTTCAGAGGAAGAGAATCAGGCTCAGGTTCTTGTTTTCGTGTTGTGACAATCTGAAAATACAATTTAAAATCCTGTTATGGATCGATGATGTTTTTAAAGAGTACATTTTGTAGTTGTCTCCAAGCACTTTTTGGATTTTAGTGATAATGAGGCAAAATAATGTCTAGAAACACGATTCTGTTTTGTTACATGTGTTGTGCACATCTGGATCTTTGAAGAATTTGCTGTAAAAATACTTATTTGACAATATAAATAAGAGGAGACATAAAACTACAGAGGGCCTGTTCTAGCTCTGAGTATTGTGTCCAAGAATTTAAGCCCAATTAATTCCACTTTACTTCTTCATTTAATCCTGTACAATATTACATACAATAAAACAGGTTTGTAGTTACAACTTGACAACATAAAAAGATAACTGCAAGATTATAACTACAAATACTGTGTAATCTGGTACTAATTTACCAAAATACATAAACTCTACACGCCAATAATATTTAATACAGATGGGGACAGCTAAAATTAATATTGAGAATTCGAGAATTTACAAAGTACAATGTAATCAATAGATACTTTGCAGTGACATCAAGCTGGGGGGGTTCAGCATGTATGTATATGGCGGTATGTATAGTCTGAAACTCAAGAAGAAATACTAAATGGATTTAAACAACACATTTTCAGAAGTCTGTGATCAATACGAGTGCTCAAGATCCTCTTTAGGAGTTTCAAGTAAGTCTAAAGTCTAAGTCTAAAGTCTAAATCGAGCTTTAGACAGAGCAGAGCCTACAGTTAGCATCACACAAACAGGGAATGTTTATGACATCAGCTGCAAAGTATCAATAGGAAAAATCGCCTCTTGCCCCCATCTGAGAGTCTGAAATCATCACATTGTAGAACTGAAAACCCACAAATTCTAAATAGAGAAGTGTAAAATACATCCAGTCCTCTGCACTATGTCAGATTTGGCATTCGGACTTGATGCAGGCCTTTGTATATTTGATATCGTCTTCTCCAGAAACATCAAAACTTTCACAATCAGTATTTTTGCACAAATCAAATAAATGCACCAAATTGACTCAGTAAAGGTGAAGCATTTGTAGTTAAATTGCACTACTCATTTGAAGTTCAGTCCAGACACGCACAACTCTCTGTCTTTCTATCTTTGTGTGTTCATTTGGATAAACATGTTTGCTGATTTGTATTTATTGTAAAGTGTATAATTTAAACTAACTACAGTTTGAAGGCTTTCTGTTACATAATGAGTTAAATACTTTGCTTTTTTCTCGACATCTTTTTGATATTTGTTTTAAAAAAGGACAGTTTGTCTCAAGGAGGCGGTAGCTGCAAGGTAGCGCACACAGTGTACATAAGCAGTGTCTTCCAATGTTTCTATGTGTTTTTGCAAATGGACTTGTCTATTAAAACATTTCTTTACATGGAACAGACCTGTGTAATGTCATTTTGTCTCTTATATAATATTTAAAGGCGCACACATACACTGTATAAAGAAATGGACTAAAGGGAATGTAACGTCACACATAGCATTTGGCTCCAGTCAAATGAAGCTTATTGAGGCTTGCAGTTACAGAAGCGAATTTGGAGCTAAGTTCGACCTCTAGTATCATAGCAACCAAAGAGTCAATCCAGGGCAAAACTGTTGAAGGCCCGCACCCTTTTTTTTAGCAGGGAACAGGCTTCTTCTGGGAAAGAAAGCACCTGATCTGTCTGTTATTAATATTCATATCTTGATTTATGAACAAAATAGTGAAATAAAACACTTGGATCATGTAGAGCAGGTTAATATGAACATTTTAAGACCAAAATTACAAGTCTGACAACAGCAGTTTCTCAATACAGAGTGAATTGGAGCTAGAGTCGATGGAGCCAGAAGCGCACTCATTCTCACTTCCTATTGGAACATCACTTGCCTCCAAGGAGATATTATTGTTTTTAAATGAAGAATATTTTTCTGTACTTTTCCTCGTGCAACTTTAACTTTTTAGAGTGCCTGGATGTTATTGTTTTTGCTGATATGTTCCACATTATTAGTCAGGCAGATGCCACCTAGTGCCTCTGCTCAATTTCATTTCTCTCCAGTGACTAAATCAGGAATCAGAATACACTAAACAGTTTGCAAGAACCCCGGAAGTGCGAGTCTGGGCACCTGCCAACCAGCAAAGAGACATACATTCTGTGCTGGCAACGATTCCTGAGATTGTGCATTTAAAGTCGGAACATAGAGAATGTTTGGTGAATTTTATCAAGGGGAAATACTTACTTCTAGCTATGAGATTTGGGAACAGCTTAGTATATCAGTTAGTCTTATTAGTGGTACATTATACACGTCACAACCAAATAGCAGTGATTGGTTAAATTAAAAAAGTACCTACCTACCGTCAATTGAAAGAATTATAATGCTACGAGGTCAGATGGTTTCCACGAAGTGAAACCAGCTGATGAATCAGGCTACCAAACTATGGCTTTTACCTTAACAGTCTCCACAGAGACAAGCAGGTGACACCTCCAAGCCAAGTTACAGGTCAGATCTGTGGAGAGGCAACACAGTTCAAATTAAGAAAACATGTTATACAAAATATTTCCTTAGCAATAAAATTATCTGTAACTGAATATAAATTAAACTGATAATATCATAAAACATTCAAGGCAAAAGGCTAATGTCTCCACAGGACAACAGAAAAGTTACATGATGGTGAACATTTACCCTGCCACCAAAGTATAAATAATTACAACAGTACTGATGGGAAGTACTCTTAACTACAACAGTGAATGGCCCTATTAATCTCAACTATTACTACTAACGTTAATAGCCGTCAATAGCCATTCAGCAAACACTGCAACACAGAAGCAATACCTTTCTTAATGATACTTTTACTTCCCTTTTGAAACCACAGATCCTCTGGTTGTGAGGTAAACATCCTACTCAACACAGCAACAACGAAATAGTGACATAACACAAAAAGTTCTTGTGAGCTTTAAGTCATGTTATAATGTTGTTACCTCATCAAAAACAACAGATTTATGTTTTGTTTAACTCAGACATGTTTGAGTAACTTTTTTTTTATTATTTGTCTGTCTGCATTTCCAAAGCTCAAAATGCTCTGTCTCACCTTGCGATGTCATTAAGTGGTAGTTTTCATGTTACTTTACAGCTACATTTTATCTTTTGTTCAACAGAAATGGGGCATTTCCTCGGCTCAATCATCCTAATGATTCTAATGAAGATGTATGGAGCACTTATAAAGCCTAAATATGCAGGATTTGTGTGTTAAACGTGTGTGAATGAAACAAAACACAGCTCCAGGTATGTTTGTGATCAACATAACATAGATCAGAAAACAGAGTGATATGGGCCCTGTAATGAATAAATAATAATTTGCTTTTAAAGTAAATTACCCTGATATAATTTCTTCTCAGATGTGCTTTGGTAAAATGAAGCGTCATTTTCCTGAGTGTTTGGACTGCTGTTAACCCACTCTTAAATATTTCACATGGTCCAAGTGTGGCTTCCTCCATCAGATTTGTGCTTAGATGAATAATAAATCTTGAGCAGAACCGGATACAGCTCCATCACAGCAGTATGATTAATGTGCTGTGAAGTCGTCGTGACAACCCCTTCACACGGACTGAAACCTGACCGGGTCTATACTCTCTCAGACCAGGATTAGAGCCAAGGCCGGACCGCTGCACTGAGGAGGGCACAGTTTCTCTCTATTGCTGGATTCAAAGGGCCCATATTACGCTGATTTATGATCTATTTTCTATGTTATAATGTTGTTTCCTCATCCCAAACAGACCTTGAGTTGTGTTTTGTTTCATTCACACGTTTAACACACAAATCCTGCATATTTGTGATGTTATGTGGTGATACAGGAAGTGCTCCACTGTGTTTTTAAACTCCATACACCTTCACTAGAATCATTTAGATAATAATCTCTACTAAACTACTGTATTTTTCGGACTATAAGTCGCACTTTTTTCATGGTTTGGGTGGTCCTGAAACTTATACACCGGTGCGACTAATATATAAACATTTTCACACTGACACCTGCGAGAGTGCGCTCTAAGCTTGTGTGCCAGTATCTGCTACTCCTGTTACTCCTGTACCATTGTCATTTCACTCTACTGCACATGTCACCTGCAGAAAGAGACACAAATGCTCCCAAAAAGAAAATCATATTTTGCAGATTACAAGCTGCAAGTCCTGAAATATGCAGCCGAAAACAGTAATCGAGCAGCAGAAAGAAAGTTTGTAATGAGCGAGAAACTTATGACAACCGGGAGGGAAGTCATTTGATGGATCGACAAAGCCTGGACTTCAGTGACACTGAAATCATCCTGTTGGGATTCAGAAAGACAAGGAATAATTCTAACCGGAACTAATGCTGGGTCTGACGACAGCTACGCAGAAGAAGCAGTGCTCTGTTTACCTCTGGAGGTTGGGGAGTTGTTCAAAAGTGACACTGAGGATGAAGAATTATTTGGAGTGAGATGGAGAGTTTGGTAAACTTGATATGTTATATTGTTTATATTAACGTTAACAGCCTGTTGTTCTCTATTCTGTTGTTATTACTATAATTTGCCTTTCAAGATGAAATGTCGGTTCCTGGTCTCTGATTTTAGAAAATAAATTTCCCCAAAAAAGTTTGACTTACAGTCCAGTGTGACTTATATATGTTACGCCTTTTTTGGCAGGTGCAATTTATACTCCGGAGCAACTTATAGTCTGAAAAATATGGTAAATGTAAAAGAATTGAACTTGAACACTTGAAAAATCGCCTCATGAGCATTTTGAGCGTTTGAGATGTAGACAGACCGGTAATAAAGAGTTACTCTAACATGTGTGAATAAAATAAAAAACAACAAAACAAAAAAACACAAGGTAAGTTTTTTAGGATGTAACAACATTCACATGCCATATGCTTGTATCCATGAAGCTTTATCTGAAATGTTTCACAGTATGGCATTAATTGAATTTATCCATCTCCCAAGAAACAAGCAGATGAAATCACTAAGGTAGCTTTTACATGTAATATAAACACCTGCTTGAAAAAATGGCAAAAGACAATAAGTTTAATACTATACAGGATTGCCTTTAGTGAAATGTTCCACAGTGGCATTATCTTTAAGATGACAAACAGACACCGCTTTCATATAGGAATGCATGTCCTTCAGGGAGTTTCTGAACAGCAAAAAGTTATAGAGTGCCATAAAACATACTTTTTTTTTCTTTTTTCTTTTTTTTTTTACTGAGCAGGAGCTTGTGACCTTGTACAGTGCATAAGTTCATCATGAGTAAATATAGTCATTTGAATCAGTGGATGTATCTTATTTCTCCATACATTTACTCTTCAAGTCAACACTATACTCAGTGAACTTATGGATGGCCTGTAGCGTATACTGAGTGCCGTAGTCTCTCCCTGATTGGCTGATCCTGCTCGTGTGCATAATCCCCTGCACGAGGCTGTGTTTGTTGTGTTACTGCTGCAGTATTAGAGTAATAGGATCGCTCAGCTTTAGGCCCACAGGATGAGATGTGAGGAGGAGCTGGAGGCAGGTGGGCTGTGCTGGAATGTCAGGAATTTAAATAGAGAAGATATGAGTGTGTATAACCAGATAAGATTAGATTTTCTTACATTAGTTTTATGCTAAGTTTCACTTAAATAAAATGCAATGATGATGGATTTTCCAAAATAAAACACACTGCTATATATTCAAATGGTGAATTTTTTACATAGTGTTTTTCCATCTTCAAGGCACTCAAAGCGCTTTACATCCTCACTTATTCACACATGGATACACAGTACACTGAGGCCAAGGTGGGTTTAGTGTCTTGCCCAAAGGCAGTATTCATCTGTGGGAGCTGGAATCGCTCCATGGGTCAGTGGATCTGCGTAGACAACCAATCATGTTCACATCGAGAGCGGGATTCGAACTGGTAACCTTCAGACCAGTGGACAAATAAATGTATTTCTATTTACAACAACCAACAAGTGTTCAAAGTGCTTCACACGGGAGTAACTTAGGCCCTGTTTACATGTACATGGGTATTTTTAAAAACTGAGACATTTCTCTTCATTTGTACCCATCTTTTACATGCAAATGGTTCGACTCAAAAATTTGACTCTAAAAACAATCTTTCTAAAAACTCCGGCTGTGAGATAGTGAGATAAACATTTAGGCACCTGACGCGATCAATGTTTCCCTTTTGCTGTGATGATGATGATGGAGCATTCAGAGCAGCAGTCACATTTCTTCTGGTGCAAACACTTTTCATGTGTTTGCATTTGCACACACAACTGATGTTTCATATACATGACCAGAGACAAATGAGGCTCAGAGGTCAGCAATTTTAGCACTTCTTTAACAGATCTGTGGAGAGGCGAGCCCACTCAGTAATGCAGGTTTTTAAGGTATTTTTGC